TCACGGTGCACCTAAGGGCTCAGTACCGGCTGTTACTGCTGATACGCCTGTCGGGAACTGGCAGCAAGAACCCCGTTTTGACTCACAGAATACTTAAAGGAAAAGATGAGTATGAATAATTGATTGAGAATGCCGATTACACTTAAGAAAATAAGAGGGCTAATTAATTCTGTCTTTGTTTTTATACCCCAAAAAGGAACAAACTTTGCCTTGGAAAGAGAAAACATGGTGTCTAAAAAGTACGTGGTGAGCATCCATCTGCCCTCTGCCCCACCCTGCACTGGGCTGTGTCCTGGCAGTGGCCCCAGGGTGGCACTTACAGGCTCCCCGGCCCAGAGACAGGACTACAGCTGGTTGCAGTTTCAGCAAGGCCACGGCTACTGTCTGGACCCCCCTCCAACACCCATCTGTCTCCGTGGCCAGTTCCCTCTCCTTCCACGTTCCAGACAGGGAAACACTTCTACCGTCTACAGTTCCTAAGAAGTCACAGAAGAAATGAAAATTGCCTACATTTTACTTTTTAAAATGCCTGTGGACATTCCTGACAGATAATAACATCAGTCCTGGAGGAATTCTGATCACAGACTGTCTAACAGAAGATGTGCACCCACTTGAAGAAGACAGTTCCTGGAAACCATGTCGATAGTCACTATAAATGATTTCTGTAATACAAAGTCATTTTCTTTTGATGACAAAATTATTAGGCTGATAAGTTACCAAGTCACCCAGATAGACAAGGTGTGACTGACTTAAGAACCCAAACTAACTGATAAGCAGGAGTTCATTGTACCTTCCTGGGCCACAGTCATCTTTCTACACTAACAACGTGAGCAAAAATACAGGAGATACTCTCATCTCCTTGGTAACTGACAAAGTTGAGAGGGACAAAGGATACTTTGCAAAGTAGAGTCAGGGTTAAAAACACCCTTAAAAGTCAAAATACGTGGCCAAAACCAGTGAGAAGTATTTTGCAGAGATCGATGTCAATTCTGAAATTAGGCTTCAAGAATATTTACAAAAGTCCTAGTAGGGAGAAAGGTAACTCATCATCAAGCAATGATTTTACTAAGAACAGTTAAATTATAATAAACTCAAACAACAGCGGCACAAGACTGGAGCATCGCACAGGTGGCGTTCAAAGACCTAGGTTTGGATTCAAGCCCTCACCCCACCTATAACTTTCACAGTCCCACATTTACCTGCAAAAGAAGTGCAGTACCTTGCTCAGATACAGATGCTCTTTGCATGGTATGTGGCCTTCATAAAACTGAACAGTGCTATTTGATTTAAAGTCAGGAGAGAAGCCAGAGTTCCATTTCCATGTAGTGAATGTTTAATGAGAGACCAGCAATGTACCGAGAACCCCCAGGTAGAACAACAAAATGAGCAAGGTGAGGGCCCAGTGGTAAGAGCTCCAGAGAGTGAGTCGGGGGTGAGGGCCCGGGGGTAAGAGCTCCAGAGAGTGAGTCGGGGGTGAGGGCCAGGAGGTAAGAGCTCCAGAGAGTGAGTCGGGGGTGAGGGCCCAATGGTAAGAGCTCCAGAGAGTGAGTTGGGGGTGAGGGCCCAGTGGTAAGAGCTCCAGAGAGTAAGTCGGGGGTGAGGGTGTTGCTTGTGTTTAACCCCAGGCACTTTGGATTAAAGGGACCATAAACTCCAGCCTAATGATGGAGTTACAGGGTCAGGGACACAGCCCAGGGTGAGCTTCCTCCAGGATTAGACACTGTACACAGCAGGTAGCATCTTCCAGGAGACGCCTGGTCCAGGCCTCTGCACAGTCCCACAAATACCTATTCTACTCACACATTAATTTGTTTTTTTTTTCTTCTAGTCAGAAAAAAAAACAGAATGAACATATGTTGACCAGTGTCTACTCTGAAGTTTTACCAATAGCTATCTGTTGAAACTTTTCAGAGGAAAAACTTCATGTATTACAACAAATGGGATGTTCAATGTTGCTAAATCCCTGCAAGGACTCTCCTCTTTTCCCAAAATTGTGCCAGACAGCTCCGTTAATGAAGCAACAGACAGAACCAGCCCACAGGACCTGCCTCAAGTAAGAGGAAACTTTGACCAGGTTCACAAAACACAATCATTCCCACTCAGTAGAAATAAGAAAGGCCTCCGAATGCCTTCCCAGAGCCTCCCAGAAGAGATCAGAACTCCCTGGGAACTCCCTGCCCCTTCCTCCTCAAGAATCGTGGGGAGGGAAGAACAAATCTGAGGATTTTAGAAAATATTTATCATCCAAGAAAGAGACCAAGGTCCTCCAAATGCTGCTAAATTAGCACAAAACATAAAGGAGCAGAAGACAGACCCTTTCATTACTCAATCTATTGGATCCTGACTCGGAGCTTATTCTCAATTTTAAAACAATAAAAACTTGGCCCAATACAAAGAAGGAAGCCAGTGCTGATGTGCATCAGTGTTTAAAACATAGGAGAGAGGGAGAGAGTATACAATGGACGGGCCTGCACAGGACAGGAGGGGCCTCGGGCCAGGACAGAAGGTAGGGCCACATGGGCAGCAGGGCCCGCCAAGCCCCACACATCCATGGTTTGGGAGACAGTGATGTTAAAGAATGGAGTCTGCGAGAGAGGGACTCCCCACGAGTGCCATGGAGTCTCTCTCTGTAGCTGGTGAAGAAGGCAGGAGAGAGCCTGCCAGCCTGCCTTTGCCAAATTTGCTCATCCCTGCCTCCGGCCCTTTGCTACCATGTCCCCAACTCTGTGACCCTCATAGAGTTTGTCATCATTCCAGTCTAACCTCCAACTTCACGTGTTCAGGGAGACTTCCTGTGACGCCCTGCCCCTACCACTGAACCACATGTGTGTCATAGAACTTTCCTGTCTATGAACTTACACTGCCCATCATTTATTTACACAGTGACTGTGTCATCCCCCATGGAACATACAGGATTTTAGAGCAAGAACTTGGAGCTTCCTGGCTGGAACTGTGCCAGACATGCAGGAACATCCCAAGTGAGTAAGTGAAGGAAATTAGTGAAGGAATGGATAAAGATTTCTGCAATTTCCCTGGAGCCTTATCATCACTGAAAAATTATTCCCTACAGGCCACCAACAGCCTGGACTACAAATCTGAAGTGATCCAGGAAGAAGACAAGGAAGAGATACTACAAACAATACGGTACTTCTGTCAACCCGCCAATCTAGAAAAAGAAGGAAGAGATACTACAAACAATACGGTACTGCTGTCAA